CTTTTAAGGCATAGAGTTCAGAGCCCGCTTCGTCTTTCACTTTGTAGACATTCCAAATGCACCACTACCAAGATGCTGTTCGACTTTTACTATTTCGTCGCCTACATGCAGTCTTGGGGGAAGATCAATCTAGGCTTGTTGCATTTCGCGTTTTACAGGCCACAACTGTTCTCTTTCAGGCCACAACTGTTCTCTTTATCTAAAAGTCAATTTGATGGAAACAACGAGTTTAGCCGCTGCGAAATAGTTGGGTCTGATTTCTCGGAAAAACGAACTTGGCAATTGATTTGACTCATGGGAACGTACAGGGGTGGTGTTATTTCAGTAGTACTCGGTATGAAGGCGATAGTTTGATTGTGCACGAGTTTAACACCTTTCGGTTAGGCCAAATATGCTACATTGCAGGGTTTGCTTGAAGGTAGGAGCTAAAACCGATTATTTCTGATGTTAGTTTGTTCTTAGTTATCCCTATCCATTTAGTAAGTAGTAGTACCCATAATGTATATTTGAGTGATTTTTTTTTCTTAAAAAAAAACCTCTATGCTAGCTTGTAGAGTGATATGTTGCTCGCACCAATCAGATCGTTGCATTAGGGTATGTATCTCGCACTAATCAGATTGCCGCATTGGGTTATGTATCTCGCACCAATCATATCATAGCATTTGGATATCTTGCACCAATCACAACGTTTGGATATTTTGTTCTTGCCAATGATGTCATGGAATCAGGAAGCTGTGCACAAAGAATGATAGTAACCAGAAATTTTGGGCCCATTTGATATGTGTAATGGTTTGTGGCCTTCGTGAGAACCTCGTCGACTAACTTCGAGATTTATCGGGATATGAAAGGTTCGCATTTAACTTTTTGCATCATTTCTAAGTTAAAAAATGTTTCTCCGCTCCTTTACCCACAACGCACACGCCAAACAACTTACATTCCATCACGTAATATGAAAAGTCCAGTCAGAACATACCCAATCATTGCACCACATGAACATTAGCCAATTTTCCACGTGCTTGAATTGTATTGCACCAATCAAATTCCATTTTGCCACCTTAGCCTTCGCTCCACTACTTGTCATTTCCTTGTAAACAACCTGAATTTAATCACGTATTATAACTGCATTGTCCAACCCCACTGAAATAGATTCACATGGAACTAAATGTTACTAATAGTGAATTTTCCACGCAATTCTCAAATGTATCTTCACTTATTCGAGATCGCAATATATCTTTGGTTAGGGCATATTGGAGATACAACAGAGTTCCAGTTTGCTTTTCGTGGTAAAAGTACGTGGAATTATACTTTCGAGGCGAATAATTTTGATCTTCTCACTGTTAAAGGAACGGCAGTAAGCGTATTCCCTTTCGCAACCGTTACTTAGCCTCGTCACGCAAAGCGCGTTCTCTCTCCAGAGAGGAATAGATGGCGTTGTGTGACGAGACCAAGCAACAGCTGCGAAGGAGACAACAGTAAGCGTGACACCAATGCATTTTAGTTTGCTTAGAAGTATTTAGATTTCTCTCTCTTAAAGTGAAGTAATGTGATATTTTAATTCTTTGAAAGTTATGCTCTTTTTTAGTTTCAAAAATGAAAACATCAGGTACCCAAAGTGTCCCATCTCAACCTACCCAGCCGAAAAAATAGCTCTTGCATGCTGCGCATGCCTATGTTTATTAAGAACTTGAAGGAGAGTGCTATGAACAAAACACCAAACAAAACACAAACAACTGGCTATAAGCGTGGAAGTCATGGGCTTCCAAAATTCCTGTAACACAGCCCATACTTCAAACTATGTTTCCAAGAATTTCGTAATCCGTAGCTTCCCTGGTCTTGCATTTGCCCAGGTTTATCAACTAAAGATCCTTACAAGGAAGAATTCTATTCACACTCTCAGATGCCAGACTTAGATAGCATTTTATTGAAAAGGTTCTTATCTCAGACACGAATTGCAGTGTAACGTTTCTCAGAAATTACTCGTGAAACCAACTTATGTTGATCTTACATTATGTAGCGAATTTCACTTTCTCTGTATTTAGGCATCAAAAGTGAAAAAAAACCAGTCATTTCATAGAAAATTTATTGCTCAACTTTAGAACCCGACCGAACCATCGAAACATGATACGAACGAACTTTCTGCTGAGAATTCTCTTGTATTCCACGGCGCACAATTAGAGTGAAACTTCAAGGGATAAGTGCACGATCTCGATGGATCTCCACTTTCCGTCACTTGTTTTAGTTTCTATAGATTAAGTACCTCTTTACATTTTCTTCGCCTAGTTCGAGAGATTGTGGTAGACGTTGATTAAAAGAAAAGGGCCAACAAGGACTGTGATGTAGCGATGTTGACAAGGACTGTGATGTAGCGATGTTGACAAGACGCTTACATGTCCTTTAGAAACTCACAGCCAAGATATATTCCTGAAATTCTTATTTGCATGCCTCTTACCTTAATTTCTGTAACTTAATCTTGCAGCTAATAATCATGTGGCAACGCTTTACTTTAAAGGACAAGTGTTACATGTATAGTTTTTAAGTTCTCTTTTAAGTTTCTTGTCCGGTCATGTACCAAGGTACGGAAATGACATTACACCTGTTCGGCAGAGTTACATATATACGCTTAGAAGCACGAGCCAGCCTCATTCGAATCAGTCGAAGACTGTCCAAGTCCTATATTCTCTTGAATAACTCTCAAATGGTTGCAAATCTCTTGAGCGGTCGGCCGATCATATGGGTTGTATTTCAGCAACTCATGAACGTTTCTCTGTAGAGCGTTGGATCCTTGAGCGTGACTTGAAAATTGAATTCGTATATTCCTATCAAAATTCTCCATCGCAAAGCCGACGCCATACTTCCCTCTACCAGGAACACTTACGAAGGCCCCGTAAATGGCTTTCCCGTTGATCACGATGTAATCCCGCTCGAGTATTGCAAAGAGGAGCGTTCCGAGAGAGAAAATGTCGGCTTTTTCAGTGTAATGGCCGCGGAAAAATTCTGGAGCTACCCAGTGGATTGGACCTGTTCCCGATTGCATGTAGTATTGCGTGTAAGTTGTCAGCCACGAACCATCATCTTGTTGCACGCTAGCTCGTTTTAGTGCGATATACTCACGGGCAAGGCCAAAGTCGCCCAATTTGACATCTTCTGATGCAGTCAAGAGCACATTATCTGCCTTCAGATCGCGGTGAACTACGTTGCACGAGTGAAGATGGGCAACAGCTTCGACGGTTTGGGTCATCCATGTCAGATTTTGTTGGTCGCTGCTTGGTCGAGCAAGGCGATCATTTAAGCTTCCGCCTGGGCAATACTCGGTCAAAAGCAACATGTGCGAACCTCGGCTATCGCGAAACTCGCCAACACTCACGATCGCAATAACATTTTCATGAGAGATTCGGTTTAGTGTTGAAGCTTCGCGGATGGCATTACGAATGGCTGAATCATTCAAACAAAGGATATCTTTCATAGCGTACACTTTGGACGTTCCTTCTTCTATTACTTTGTAGACGACACCAAAAGCGCCGTTACCAAGTCGCTGTTGGATATTTACTATTTTTTCACCCACTTGAAGCTGTGTTGGAAGGTTAGTTTGGGCCATTTGAAAGTCACTTCACAGAAATTACCTAGCCAGACGCAAAATGTAAATTGAAGTCGGAGCTTCGATCGACGCGGGGTCGTTTTCTGGGAAAAGTAACGTGTGTTTATCAGAGCTTCCTAATTCGAACTAGCGTGCATTGCGGCCTTTTGTGAGTTTTTACTTCCGGTTATGAAGGTACTGGTTGAACCCCATAACTTGAGTAGGATGATAAATATCAGCTAGTGAACGTTCCGAAAAAGACAAAAACGGGAACAAACTTTGCTCATTTACGATTGCTAGTTGTAAAAATACTTAATGCAGTGGGCCTGGACGAATATGGCAACTCATCAAACAAAGTATCAGAGAAATTTGATTGAGAAAGTCAATGTAGGGCCATTCTTGATAAGGAAAAAGTTGTCGTTCTTTTTATGTTGCTGAAGTTGTTTTTTTTGTTGTTGTTCTCTTTGTGCAATTGCGATAGCAAAAGAAGAAGCCGGAAATTGAATCGATGTCGAGTCCATTCCTTTAAGTCCTTTAGAGTCTTGCAGACTCGTCTCTTGTTCGGAGACGAAATGGTCAGGTATAGCAAAGTTTATGGGGAGAAGAAAAGTGAAAAATATTGCAATGAATCAATCAGTGGGATTCACCAGATATTATGCAACAGACTGGATGAAGATGCAATGAGTACCTTATTACGTGAATAAGTTAAGAGATTATTCTCTTCACTACTCATAATAGCATAAAAACAAAACAGACAAAACAGTGACAGACGGCGGAAATTGATACACCAAAGCGCTAGCAAATAGCAATTCAGCTCAGGCAGGACTGGGCTGATTAGTGTGATGGAGGAGCAGGTGCTTGCTTATGTGATTAACCGTTGAGATCTTTGAGACTGGTACTCCTGGAAGGTCAACACTTTGAAAGTTAGACTTCACGTGCGCTCTCCTGCTGAGTTGGCATTTGCATCTGAATGAAAGTTATTGTGGTGTGGCTTAGCGGAACAGTCATCTTAACCAGCCGTTCATTCAGCCGGATCAGCCAGTAGAGCTCCTAAATCACACCTGAATTTGCACAATTTTGTAAGCAAAAGAGTCTTCATCCCTGTAACCCAACTGTTAACTAGCCTACAAAAACTGACTACTTTTAACTTTCGAAGCTAATTTCAATCCAACCTCTGAAGCTTTTCAAATTTGTTTCGAAAGGGGTCCGATATAAATTTCCTGTTGATAACAAAGAGTTCGAGTATGTCACTGGCTTAGGTTTCGCGTTTCTATAGCAACACTTATCTTTCGCTGAGGGTACACAGGCTGGCGGCTGGCGCGGATTGGAGTTGCATAGGAACTGACGTACAAACGATCCTCAGTCTTGTTGTGCAACCCGTGATAAATTTGCCAAGAATTAAAATTTTTATGAAAAGATATATGTTGATCGTAGTCAAGCAAAGGGCACTTGACAAACTTTAATTTTTGTTGAAGACATAACTGACCATGATTCAACCAAGGTCATCTTTTGTTTGCGAGTTGCGAGCTCGCATGTAAGCGGCTCGCACGCTTACTGCGCGTACGTGTGGTAGCGTTTTGCGGCTTGAGGGTCAAATCTTGAGAATGTTTTTGCGCAGGTGATTTAGCAGGGTTGGTGGTCTTTTAGCAGATAATTTTTCGAAAAATGTCTTGATTTGTCTTTGCTATCGCTGGTGAACAGTTCAATTTTTGTCCATGAGGATAAAGAAGACTTAGTCAGGCATGCGGCGTAGTGTTGATATTGGTTATTTAAAGAATACAGTGTGTTTATGTCTTCTTTTTTAATTGAACGTACAACTTCGGTTAATATATTTTTAATACTGTGCCTATTTGCTTGTGTTGTATCAATTATTTGTAAGAGAAATTGAGTGTCTTTTTGCACTGGATAACCTTTTTTCGAAACAGCCTGAAAAGCCGGTGGGTGTATTACTTGGCGAATAAATCGAGTGATAGCGGCACTCGGTGGCACAACTTCTCTTGTATGGTGTGCAGCATTAGAACCATGAACAAGTGTGAGAAAGGCCCGAGTCAATGACTGTCTTGATTGACCTGCACCATGTCTTAAATAATCGCTGTTACGACAGGCCACCATTTTATAACAGCCACCTGAAAAGAAGCTCCCTTGCTTTTTCATTCGTTTTTTTTTTTTTTTTTAAAGCTCATGGTGTTCGTTGGTCTGTTTGTTTGTTTTTTCATGTCGTTTGTCGTCTTTGACTCGAAATTGCCAAGAATTCTATGGTTTAGAAATAGTTTGCCAAATCTGTCAAAGTATGCATTTAGTATTATGAATTATAATTTTTTTTTCAGAGCTCAGTTGAAAACATTATCATATGGCTACCGCTATGTTACAGGTGTACTGCGTGGAGAGGATAGAATCACGCAAAATTGCAAATTATCCTTGATATCTTTGTTATCAAAGTCATTTTGTCGCATCAATACATTTTTTCAATGTTGATATGTTTTTCTTAAGTACATTTTCCCAAATTTTCAATCAGTACAAAAAGCCGCAAACAAACTCAGCAAATATGTTGTTCGGTTACTAGCGCAAATGGTGCCAAGCAAACACAGACCCCAGGGAAAATTAAAATTAAATTTTATAGTTAGAATATAAAGGAATGATTTTTTTCTCATTAAAAAAAAAAAAAAATGAAACCAGGACAACTAAGGTAATCGAAAAACATTCGAAAGTGGCTTTGTGGTAAAAGAAAAAAAAGGAAAAAAGAAAGGAAAATCTGTGGTGTCTCAATTTTAATTCAAAACAATGAAAAGATAAATATTGATCTGTTTCTATCGATGATTTTTTTATTGTTTGTTGTAGGGGTCTGATATGGCTTCATTCATTTGCAAAAATGACCGTCGTTAACTCATGCCAAAATAACTTGCTAGTATTGTGGAAAGTGTGATTAAAATTTTTTTTCTACTCTTGCCGTGCTGTGAAATTTGACATTTAACTCCTCCACTAGTGTTGCGAATGATTAACTGGAAACAAAACCATAAAATTAACTTTTGTCCACTAAGAAGAGATCTTCACAATGAGGGCGAAACTGCTTTGAACCGAGAAATAAGAAAAAACACAAATAAAAGAATCTATCGGAAGGTGCAAATGTCTCTTTCCTGTTACAAAGGCAACTTTTATTTTTACTCATGACAAGGTGACCAATGAATAAAGCCTGCTGAGGCTTTCAATAATTTGTTTTGATCCTGCGATTTCCAACAGGGAAAGGAACCTTTTACAGCTTTTTAGCACTGCGCGCCAAAGAGTATTTGTAAACATAATTTTGTTTTGACAGCGAATCGCTAATTTGCCTCAAATCGATGTTAATCTAAAACTTAATAATTGAAAGCCGTCTTTATGTATGCAAAAACATCAGTGGCAACAGCGACTGATAAAAATCTTATTTAATTTAAACTGTGGAATACTGTTTTAAAAGCATCTTAAAAGAAGCTCGTAACACCGTATCCGACATAGAAGATGAAAATAACATCTAAATATGCCCTTTATGTCAGTGATAACCTTATTTTCTTCTATAATGTGAATTTGCTTCATTCCTCTTTTTTTTTTTTAATTCTGGCAGCTGTTTCTCTTCAAGGTATTCTCGTAAGGTGTTATAAATATTCTGACTGAAACTTCTCTCGGTCAAATGTGCATTATTTATAACAATAGCTGAAGGTGTCTTCGTAGTTTTGCGTTTCTGAATACTCGAGTGATACGTAGTCTATAAGTAAATACTTTCGACTCTCTCCATTCGTTTTGTATCTAATTCATGATGTAAAAACTCCCTTGGAACTTGACCAGAGTTAGGTATTGAGATTGAAAATGATGGAGTTTGGAGGTTGACGAGTCAGTGTGTTTGTTAAACGTTTTGAGGCTGTTTGTGGTCTTAAATGCGATAAGAAAGCGTTAAGGAAGCAATTCTTCTGAGCTGTTCCAGCTATTGTTAAACAAAGAAAAATTTCTGGCGGGTGTCGTAAAATTACTCGCTTAAATTTGCATCAGTGATTAGTAATAATTTAAGAACCCGTTTCTTCGTCTCCTTCCCCTTGTTTTTCTTCAGTCCTCGGTCGTTCGCACCAAAGCACAATTAAAACAACTTCCGATTCCTTGCTTCCAAAAAGCCAGTCAGATAACATTCAAATTTCTTAGGCAAACAAGACACAAGACAATGATCAGGTCGGAAATACTTTTCTTAGTTCTAATTATTTATTACAAAACAAACAATTCATCGTCTTCAGTGGATTCTCATTTGAATGAATGGTTTAAAAAAAGAAAAACTAAAAACCATTTATTGTCATCTGTGAGTATTAATGATTGTTTTGTTTCACGGCACTGTGTGTAAAGCATTTCAAACGATCAGCCGAAAAACTTCATCCACTGAACCAAAATGTCTGCATTTGCGGTGTATTTGTCTTCCTTCGATTCGTCGGAATCCAGCTCTTGGAGTTCTTCGTTTACAAGATATTCATTAGCGTTAACAGCAGTTGTGGCGCTTCCCTTTGCAGCTTCACTCTGTCTGTTCAAACATGGTAGACTACTTCGTCTATTGTAGATTTTTTCGCTGGGAGGGAATGATAAAGGGCGGCTATTTGATACCTTAGACTGAGCTTCTTTTATCTTGTGCTGCGTCGAGTGAAAAGGCACAGGGACGAGCGAAGACTTTCGCCGTCTCACAGGTTGGCCAGTCTGTTCATTATCAATTCTCGTTTTGGATTTGACACAGTCTGATAAGTTTTTCGTTTTGAGGCATGTAATTGACTCCTTACCTGTCGATTTACCTCGCCGTTCTCTAGAAACCCCTGATCGATCCACGTTTTCTCTCGTGTAACACATCGGATCAGAATGACGTCGAGGCGTTACTACATCCGCAAGACAGCTCTCGCGAACCGAATACCTTGCCTCCGTGCTTTTAACCGAGGTTCTTTTGCAAAAGCCATTTTCACTTTCACTGCTGTCACTCGAAAGTAGCGATAAGCGATGAATAATATGCTGCGTCGCGATTCCACCTGGCTCCGAATATCTGCGCTTACAAGGGCTCAATGCATTTGAGCAGCGCTTAATTCTTAAATATGAGCCGTCCCTGTAGATCGCTGGTAAGGACATTGTCCGAGGTCGACGGTAAAAGATTGGGGCGTCGTTTGCTGTGTTTTCTTCAACGTTAGTTGCGTAGGTGGACGGCGGGCACTCGTCGCCAGTTTCGGAAATTGTGTTCAAATGCGTCGATTGTACGGAAAGCCGTCTTTCTGTTAGTCGCGGCTGAAAAACATTTCTTTCATGGCAGTTTAGTGGGTACGAAGTTTTTCCTCCAAAAATACTCTCCACCATGGTAAATTCAGTTGATCTGTGGTGTAACCAAAATCAGTGAAACTTTGATCTTAAAACATCTGCGACTGCTTCGAAAATCCGGCCGATCTGATTGGATTGTCATTTCAAATCTCGTGTAAATCTCTCAAGTTCAAAACCCACCTTATTTCTCTTGTAGTAGCTACGAAGGTGAACTCTGTTTTCCAAAACCACAAGGTGAAAATAACTCCAGCCTTCGTGAAAAAGTCTGAGACGTCCCACTTACACCGCAAAATCTTTCCTTGCGGTCTTATCTCGAATCAAAAGATTCTTATAAATATTAACTATGCGGTTAGAATGCACATAAAATTAATAACAGCTAGCAAAAGTGATCTTTTTTTAGAACAGAACCAGTCAACCGTACTTCACTTGTCAAACGTGTTTTGAGTATGCGGCTATCTTGCCCGTATCTAGTCGCGTACTTAATGATACGTAAACACATTTGCACCAGTAATGACTTGGTTTTCAATGATTTTAGCCCTCATGGATGACCTTGTCATGGTAAAATTACCGTTTTGAAGATTCTTTCCTCACAACGAGAAATTTCTTGATTAAAAGTACCATTTTTACTCGCACCTTATGTGTTTATCTTTTGCGAACGCCAGGTGATATAGAAACTAATGAATACTGCTAACTACACGTAACATTTTTCAATGTTTACTTGGTTTTTGCTTGAAAAAAAACTAGAACTAATTTAGCGATAATCTTTGTTAGTGGCGGCGAATACTTGTCCTTTCAGTTTTTCCGGTTTGGCTTCAATTAACTGTGTCGATCCAAGAGATTATCCAGACTTGTTTTGCGGCAGTTTCGTTAACCAGCTCTCCTATTAAATGAGCTCCGAGACGTGAAAACATGCAAATAACATTACGGCTAAATTTTTGGGGAAAATTGCTTTTTATCCGAGAAAATATAACAAGACTAACCTTGTTTTTAAATCGAACAGTTGACTCTCATTGTCGTAAAAATTTTATTTCAGTTGACCAAGATGAAAGGCCTTCAACGAAAACTAAGAAATAACAACTGAGAGAACCACTTAGACATTCAGTCGTCAAAGATGCACGAGTTTTTGTTTTATGGCAATCAAGCTGTATTCTAATATCTCTCACTTCTAAAAATATCTCTGAACAAATTAAAGTAGACGACTTGAATTTTTTTTATTCATCAAGCATTCAATTCTATGATTGTAGCTCTCGGCTGTTTCAAACACATCTTCCTATAATCTTAACCTTCGTTACTTTCGTTATACGTCCTTCTTATACTGAATAATAAAAAATTACAGCTTACAAGTTTTTAAAGTTTTAAATTGCATCGTGACCTTGGCGAGTTAAATTTGTTCAGAAAATGAATACATTAGCTTCAATATTTGAAGAAGAGATTTTGGCTGGAGCAGTTTTGAACGATTTGTGTTCAAAGACACTTTTCACTTTTCTTATTAAAGACAAACCTACGAAGAACTTTCAGGGCGCCCAGTTCGTTATGAACTTAAACGATTGAAACATCGTCGAAACCTTGTAGAACGTTCTAGCCGCGGTTGCGATAACAATCTCAATTAAAATTCGTCGAGCAAATATCCATTCAGTTGACGAAGCTTATTTTAGATTGAAGCGTCACCAATGATTTTAATCATGTCCCCCGCTGACCATAAGGACCAGAAACACTGAGGGCAAGTTTCACTTTGAAGGTCAAACTCCTATAGCTTAAAGGCCTGGGCTGCTACAAGATGTTTTCTTCTAACGCTTGCTTTAACCCGCAAACAGAAATCTTTACATTAACTTAAGAACAGAGTTGTAGTTAACACACGTGTCCTGATTATGCTTGTAAGATGTTGGAAAGTGGCTCACTGGAATGCCAAAATGTTGCTAAAAAATTGCTGCTCAAAAAAATTTCAAAAGCTGCTGCCGAAATTCTTGATATTTTGATAATTTAATTCAATAACTGCTAACATCCGCCAAGAAAAATAACTTGAAAATTAGCTTTAAGGAGTTGCTCGCAATATGGGCGACATTTAGGGATAATGGTTCATTTGACGTCCTGCCGAGCGTTATTTCAGCCGATTACCGTTATAATATTAGATTAACATCGCAAAAGGTCTGCGAAACGTTCTCTGGTGACAGTTAATGCGTTAATTTTTTAAAAGATCGTCGAATTTTTCGAGCTTGATATATGTTCTAAACCTACATTTTGCTCAAAAGGCAAAAGGTTGCTCGAAGTTGCTAAAACCGCAAAAAGTTGCTTAAAAGCAAGCCGGTATAATTAGGACAGCCCTAATAGTTACTGCCTTCTCTTATCTTGATGGTGTTAGTTTATTGCGGCTATGTAATGCCAGGAGATCGGCTTTGAGGAGATGCTTTGGGATACTGATGAGACCCTCTCTGAACTGTTTATAGATGGCGAAATAAGGGTGTTTCTGCCTTTTTCCGGCCGATTCTTAATTAATAGTGTTGAATTTACTAAAATCTTTCGTTTTTCACGAGAATTTGTTGAAATCTCGTGAGAACTAAATCGGCCTAAGACTTGGCACCTTTGTCAAGAATGAGGCGATCGCCGCATTCTTGGACCCATATTTTCCTGAATCTGGTTTGAAACGGTTAACTATAAAATCCTACGGACTTAGTAAGCTCCACCATGCTGAATTGAGTTTCAGAGGTGTTTCATTGTTTGTATGAAAAATGGAAAAAATTACTGACGTCGCTTGGAATCGACCAAGAAAGCAATTGGAAACGGTCTATGTCTAAAGCCTTATATGAAAGAGTTATTTTCCAAAGTGGGGTAAATATCCACCACTTTCGCGGACACTTGGATGAATAATTGTTTTGTATATACCACACAGATACCCAAAAATTACCTTATTTCTCTCAATGTACCGAAAAATAGTCGGAGATTAAATGCTTGACGCGCGGTTTTGTCTCTTCGGCTGCTCGGAGGTGAATAGTACTTGCCATTCACATCTCAACTAGCCAATCAGCGCACAAGTGTGATATGTACAAAATGATGTATTGAGATATTCAACTTAATTTCCTACAATAATGTTTTGCAAATAAATGAAATAAACCGTATTGTAACCCTAGTGTCGATTATAACAAATAATGAAGCGATTCTCACGAGTAAATTGCAATCAAAGAAATTGCAGTAAAGAAGCCTGAAAAAAGTTGGGCCTCTTTTTTGCAATTTCTTTAACTGCAGCTCAACTGTGCTGAGAAGATCGGTTCGTCATCAATCAAAACTGTGACAAATTTTGTTTTTAAAGAAAGGTGGGTCAAGAAAATAATATGTGATCACACGAGGATTTTAATCTTAAGCCTTCATAATTTACCTTTCGTTGGCCGAAATATAACTTGTAGTTACGTTTAACAAAAACAGGTGGCCGTTTTCACGTTTCTTGACGCAAAATTCGTCGTTCTCATAACCGACGATTGTAAATTAAAAGTATATTTTTTTGTCCTGGCAAATATGATGTTGTCACTAGTATTCTACTCAAAAGAAAGAAGTGGAAATTGTCAAATGAACGAAACAAGCTCCAAATACAACACCAGCATACTTTTAAGTGAAAAAGACTGTTTAAAATTAGAAATTTCCCTCTCAAGTGTTGACGTCTGAACGGGGGCTTGTGATAATGCCCGTTTATGATTTTAGAGAATATACAATGGGTAAGTGATAGCCGGCTACATGTACGTATTCCACATTTTCTCCCACAGGATGTTAGTGGAAATTAATTTCAGTTGTCTGTCTGAGTTTGCAGGTTAGTGCTTTTCCATCTTTTTATTTCTGGAACTGTAAGAATCCCTTTCGATTCTTTAATTGATAATGTCAGTAGAGGTTTAGGTGGCCCTCGATTTAAACGTGACCCTTCAAATTTCGTTTATTTGTGACTCAGCAAAAAATGCTCACGCTCTACTTCTTAATCCCATCAAATTTACAAGGGCTCACTTGTACACGAAGATAGAAATGTTGACTTAATCAGAATGTGGTTATATTTTTAGTTCTTACGATTTTTACGTTCAGTAGCCCACTTCCCATTTGCCTTTGTTTAGGTAATCTTACTGATTTGTTTTCGTGCTAGTCCAAAGGCTTAAAGAATCGAGTTTAGTCTGCTAGAACTTTTGTTCACAATGTACAGGATTATCTAGGGAAATTTTCCGATTTTGCAAGTTCTTATTTAGGTTATTCTACTCACATCTCTTGACGAACGGTGGACTCTCTTTGCGAAATGGTCAGCTCTCTTACATCCAATGTGATACTCGGATGTGTGACCGACGTAGTGCGTTGACTTAAGTAAGTTTAAGAAAGAAAAGAGTATCCTTGGTACACTTTCTTATTAGACGTAAATCAGTACAGCGAAGAGTTAAAATTTGGGAGTAACATTTGTTTGTCTAGTATGATAAGGACGTCTCGATAATCTCTTTTTTCGTCTCGCTTCAGATTACCAGTATATTGGTAGACCAACGCACAAAAATTTCACTGAAGCGGATTATATATACCAGTTGTGTACTCAGTATTATTTTTTTTTATGGCTGTTACTATTTTCGACGATAACCTAGTTTCGTCTGCTAGACAATAATACCAGATATTGTTTTGACCACGTGAACAAATGAAAACAAAATACATCCATATTGAGTTAAAATCGGAGATTACATTTTGGAGCTAGAGAAACCAACACAGGCTCCTCACTAACAACCACAAAAGAAAAATAATGATAATAATGATATAATCTGCAGGAAACAGGTTTAGTTGTAGAATAATCTGTACAAACGTGTGGAGGATGCTGTCGTGGCCTTCGTTACCTCTCTTAAAGATCCTGTCTACCAGAATGAATAATTTTTCTCTCAAGGAATCTATAGGAGGTAAATTTCTAGGGGCGAGGGAGGAGAGGGGGGGTTTGCATTTTAACGGGTTGTGTTGTGTATTCATGTATTTACTACTCACACTTGAAAATTATTAGGTCACTTGATGAGGGTTATTGATCCCCGGGAGTCACAGTGAAAGCAACACCAAATAAAAGCACTTTTGGTTAAATCTTGCTAATGTGGCAAAATATATAGATTTAACAAATCTTCACCATACTGCGATTCTGGCTGACATGAATCGTGTACTAAAACGTAATTCTTAGAATAATTTTAAAACTGGAAATCTCCTGCTTCGTAGTCCAGGTGAGTTCAACCTCTCGTCACAACCACAGAAAAATGCGTTGCTTTAAGGCAACTGGGAAGCTCCCTGAATTCTTCAGCTTCCCCTCTTTAGGTTTGTGGATGAGTTTTACCATTATTACACTTATTAAGCTGAGTTTACAAGTTCTAGCCCCTCAAATGACCATTTCCGAAGACTTCATCTATGCCCACGAGATCTCAGTGGTATGATGAACTGTCGATCTACCTTCTCTCAGTGGAAATAACACTCTACGGCAATAAATCCCGGATGTTCTCTCCCCGATCAATTCTCTTGTCAATTTCAACTAGTAAAGTCACACTGTTGATAACTTGTTGAAGAATATCAACCTGCAAAATTATATTTAAAACAATTAGAAATAATCATCATTTCAATTATTGAACACCGGTGTTTTATATACTATACTACCTTCAAATTGAGTTTTGATGACGTCGTTTGCCTAACACTTGAACTCTTCTATGTGATTATGATATCACTTCTCACAATATCAATGCATCATCGAGATAAATAGCGAAGACGTAAGACATTCATTAAGTAGATAGGGTGCCATGATTGCTTCAAATTCTCCGCCCGTAAAGGAAATAAACAACTACCAAAAATGAAGTTGTACAATTAAATCTTGAAACTAAAGCTTCGCAATGGGCCTTGCTTACCATAGAGTCTCTGTGGCTTAGTGGTGGAGCATCGGAGTGCGGAATCTGTAGGTCTGAGGTTCGATACCTCATGGGGATTCAGAATTTTTTCTTTGTCCCACGCTCGTGACAGGACAGAAAACAAATTTCTCTATTTCTTTACCGAGCATAAAAACTTGCAATCTCTCTTATTCTATTAATAAAAGCGTTATCTTGGTCTAAAAAGCGAAAATGTGAGATCCATCGCCAAAAGCGACCTAGAAAATTTAAAAATTGGTACTGACATATCTCAATATCTCTCCTGAATATACTTTTCACACAACTGATTGATTCATCTTATGGTTCTATAAATAATTACCTCCGTCAGCTGCATTTTGTATTTATTTCGTATGCAGAACACGTCTTGAGCTTGTGGATCTACTGAAAATGGGTAACAAGAGTTAGCTCTATTTGTACTGCGGACACTATCGAGTGGAAAGAACTGTGCGCTGTGCGGTTATACCCCGGGTTGGTGAAAGTCTACCAGACATGAAGCCCGAGGAAGTAACAGAACACAATAGAGAAGAGGGTTGGAAGAAGCAGGAACTTTCAAGAATTCAGATGTCACTGCTTTTGGCGCATTTTAATCTATCAATTTTAAAAGTGGAGAACGCGGAACGCATAGAATCCTTTTTGTCTTTCATCTCAACTAACCACCACTATTACGAAGAGCAAAAAAAATATATCACCTCCGGCTTTACTGATAAGCAACAATTGAGATCGCCTAAGTACCAAATGCAACCTATTCCACTGTAACATTACTCAGTTCAGCTCTGATACAGAATCGGAAATAAAAATTATTCAACCTTTCAATTTAAATTGTTCTATTGGTTTTGCTGTTACACGCTGTGACTGAGCGAAGCGGGGTTTGCCCCTCCACGGGGTTTTCCCCAACCGCCCCATAAATGGTAGTCCAGATTGCCGGTAATACCTCCCTAAGTCGCACTTTACTGACCAGTGCTTTAATCACTCTGAGCTTCCTGATCAGCGCTCACGTTGAGTGGTTCATTTTCCTTTGAGAATCTCCAGCTCACCTGCCTCGTCTAGCTTCACTGGGAGTACATGTATAATGCGCTCAAATCTTGGATCCTTGAAAAATTTAGAGGTAAAGCACTAATATCAACAGTGTTACTTGCTAACACAAAATGGCCAACTCTTACAAATAGCATAACGGAACTTTATACTTGAATGAGTCTGTTTAATTCGACCGACTAAGATACGGGAAATTCAGTGAAGCAATGAGCACAGGGTATTCCACAGCTTATGTCGTCTAACACTTCCCACCAAATGCCATTACTCTCCCACCTTGTGACGATGATTAGTTTGTAGAAATTAAACTTACCAACCTTGCAGAGTTTTGACAGCCGAACTTCTACTTCCACCTCAAGTCCGGTGCCGATGTTACGTGGCGAGCTTGTCAAATATCCATATTTTGAGCTCCACATGAACTTCTTTTCATTTCGTTTTAAACCTTCCTCTATACTTGAGAGTATTTCGCTGTATCGCCTGAATGCCCTTTGTATATCCCCGCCAGTTTGAGTTATGACAACCTTCAAATGATCCTCGAAATTTATGAATATCTGACATTGTCTGTTCTCAGCTAACCACACGAACCTTCCATGAGGCCAATCGCGTGACAGCTGGGGCGGCAGTGAAACAAAGCTTGATCCATACTCTTCCATCGCAGAATTACTGTTTTGCCATGACACCGAGAGAAAAGAGTCCCCGATGTTTTCTGTGAAGACAAAGTAGTATATCTCATGTGTGATTTCTAAGAAATACTGACTTGCGAAATTTCCTTCAGAGCTCGAGTGAGCGAAACCAAACGTCGTGATTATGATGAGTCAGGAAAATAAAAAAATAGAAAAACAAAAAGTAACGAAGATAGTTACAGATGGAGGAGATGAACACAGATTGCAAACGACTATCTTTCTTCCATCAAATTTAGCGAAGAAAAACTAATGAAACGGAAAGTGACTGACTAAAACCCTCCGGCCGCTTTCTTCTCCGAGCAGTTAAAAACTCGACTTAAAGTAATCACCTCAGCCAATCAAAACAAATGGGAATATTACAAGAAGGCAATGAGAACACAAAGTGAATTTATTTAATGCATACTGAGATTTACTCACGAAAAAAAAAAGACCCGCTTAAATTTTTTACGAAATACACAACCAACCAATCAGAAGAGCGAACAACTGTGAAAATATATCGTTCGTCCTATCAGAGACAAGAACGATAGTACTTTACAGTGGAGGGCAACAAGCACGCAGCTTTCTGTTAAAAAAAAATGGATGAAGACGTGCCAAGATTTGCTCTACATGAAGGAACAAAAGATGACTCCATAGGTGAGCAAGAAACTGAAAGAACACCAGAGCAGAGACAGATAGAGACGTAAGACATTTTCAGTTATTTTAAAACCGAGGTTGTCCCATTTTCTTTCCAAGTTTTCATACTTCATAAATGTAAGCATTTGCAAATCCGCGATGCTATTCATAAATTGAAAAATTGAATTTCAAAAATATAAATTATCGTTGTCTCTCTTTTAAAAGTATAGTACGTCAGTCGGCAAATTTGTGTGTAAACAAATAACAACATAAACAACACAGACTGAATATCGAGCCACGTTGCAGATTTAGCGGTGTTTATTATTGAAGAAATGTAAGATGGTTTCCGTGTTTACATAGCCTGATGTAAACACGTGGAAGGTTGGGAGAACACGAGATAAGCGTAGGAAACCACGACGCGAAGCGGAGTGGTTTCCAGCTTATCGAGTGCATGTTCTCCCAACCTCCCAAGTGTTTACATCAGGCTATGTAAACACGGAAACCATTTTACATTTCTTTTATAAAATAACTAATGAAAGAGGAACGAAAACCGTGTTTACATACACTCATGTAAGATGGTTTTATGGCCAATTAGAGCGCGCGTACTATTTGAATTATTTTATTAAAAAAATTGCTCTTGCTTCCAATCTTTGAAATGTGATGGTCAGTAAGAGAAAATCTCACTATATATGAAATAAAAACAGCATTCTATGGAAAGTGCTTAAACGTTTTTTATTCACAATTTGCGATGCTTCAGAAACCTTACTCGTTCGCGGCGTTCACTCGTTCATTTTTTTGACCCATCGCAATTCGTGAATAAAAATCGATCGTGCGCACCTTCCATAGAATAATCTTTATACAAACAATCTGTCCAAAGCGCGGGAAAACGTGGGTCGCGATAAGTTGTTCATTTTGCCACTTCTTGGTCGAGAGGGTAGGGTGAAGTTTCTGGATCAATGGCGGAGCAAACAAAACCACAACTTCCCTAAACCTCTTACTTACCCCAAATAGACTCCACTATCGGGTGACTCACATCTAATAGTTCTGTTGCTCGGCTGGCGGGAACCATTCGGTATCCTTCTATGTTTCTTCTACCAGTCAATCTGCAGCATAGCACGTTTGATCCATACAGCTTTCCACCTCTGATTTGCTCCCAATCCAAGTTAATTTCTGAATTGAAATTCTGATCCACCTCATGTAGCTCTCTAATGACAGGGTCCATGAGTTTATTAAAAACATCATAACATTCTTCATCTCCCGCTAGCAGCCCCGCGGGGTTTCCAGCGAGTGAGCTGGGGCCAACTGAACCTAGACCCGACTCGATCAGTTGCTCTATATCATAATTTTTAGTTGTGCCCCTGTCTTTCAACTTGGAGAATAAGTCTGGTGTAAGATACTTTGCCATAATAGTTATGTTGTTTGTGAGGTCCGGAAAGCTACTCATGCGGCGCTTTTTCCTTGGATAGTTTGGATGGTGACTGCTTAGAGTAAAGAAAGCTGTCACACTTACTGCTACACAAACCCCAATCACAGCATAAGGATTGCCTAAAAGATCTCTAAACTTTTGAAGAGTAAAAGCCATTATTTAGTTTCCTATATCGTCTACTAAAATCGATCGTTTGAAGCTCGACACTCAAGACGTCACAATTAGGGCATGACATCACGTGTGACGAAACAAAATTACATCCGTCATAATTGCTCAGTATGAAATACACTTTCATCTCGGTTTTTCGCAGTTAGAGTCATGTCTGATTTAGTTTCACATATTAATTCATAAAAAGGTCCCAAATGCATCGTAATTTTTGCGTAAAATCACAACGAAGTCTATTGGATTAAAGGGGTGTACGTTAACTAATCACATGCTCTCTTGACTAATACGCGCGCCTGGTGTTGGAATAAACTGGGTCCTAATTAGAACAGTGTTAGCCATGTTAGTTCAGGCTGGTGTCCTCGCACATCTCGCTTATCAGAGCTAGCTATGTGACTGTCTCGATCTCCGGACAATAGGATACATTCACGGAAGTAATGGTGAGTGTAATTCTTGTAGATATTTATTACAGTGACCCGGAGGTCAAGAGATTAGAGTGAATACAAGTGATAAAGAAACTGTTTACTCTTCCATTTTTGCAACTTAATTTAAGTGAGTCCTAGATTAAGCTAGTAAGATATACTGTGGGTTACGCAAATATTTAAAATGTTTTTATATGTATGGTTCCTAATTCAATCATGGGACCGAGGCGACTGATGCTCACCATAAACAAAGAAACAAAGTTCAAGGAGACACAGAAATGTAGCAAGAATAACAGTGTCGCACTCGGCTGCAGCCCGTGTACCACTTTCTTTTTCCTACCGCACTTTGAAGTCATCTTTGATTCAAAACCGAATAGACGCACGGAAATATGGATTGTATTTGTGAAATAGAGCTTAAATAGTGGTCTTTCGTTAGTGTAAGGCCAAAAAATGATATGGCCTGTGTCGCCCCTTGAACATTTGTAGTGAAAAACAGTATTAAAAAATCACTGTATGAGGACCATGTGAGATGGAACACGCAAGGTTGAAGAGAGATGCATACCGCATACCGTTCTAGAAAAGGAAGAAAAAGAAAGAGTGGTAGTCATATGACTAAGTACTTTGTGACTGAGGTTTGCAGAGGCTAGATGTGAAAATGTTTGGCTCTTGCTGGTCATGACATATTTACCTCACTTTGCTCAGTTAATTGGCATGCCATGAAAGGGAGCAAAATATTACCTTGTGTGGCCCTTCCATTAAGTTGAGAAAACTTCTACATCCCCCTCCCCCATGGGCTTTTAAAATTTTGATATTAGTTCGTTCAGATTCCTGTCTCCTGGCTCACTTAAGTGCGGGATTTCATTTGTAGAAGGCACAACTAGTGATGGTGACTTTCTTGTTGAACTTTTTTCTTCTAGGCCATCTATTTTCTTAAGTGAAATTTTTACCTTTAATTACACCACTATTACTAAAGATAAAACACGTTTATTTGGCTGGAAAGACTTGACAGTTTTAGTTCAAATTCCCCACCCCACCAGGATAAAATTCAAATTTCCACCTTAGGCATGGACAAGAGTCAATGCCCATGGGGGGAGGTGAAGTTGAAGCTTAGAAATTGACTGCCGCATATGTGATTCATACATTATGTATATCTCATATTTAAGGCTCAATAAAAATTAAGTCATCTCTTACCATCTGTACATTATGTACCCCATATGTAAGGCTTAGTAAGAATTAAGTCATCTCTGACCATCTGTACATTGTATATTAACTCACCAACTAACAAGCTCCAAAAGATTTTGACAATTACACCCATGTTAATTTCCTAGTTTCAGTGTTTCAATGTTTTTCTTCAACTGTTCACTTAACCCTTTACACCCTAAAATCAGTATGTATATTCTCCAAACTGTTCTCTATACATTTCCTATGATGCTGAAAAGGAGAATTTGTGTAACAATCAAGAGCTTCTTAAGTTGGTGATTGTTTCCTTTTTATCTTGATATTAACCTTTAGCTCCTGAGAGTTAATTTTTGAGTCTCCCCTCAAGTTGCTAGAAATTTCTTTGTAAATTAGTATCCAGAATTTGGTGTTAGATTAAGATAACAACTTTGAACTGATAAGTTTGAGTTTTCCTTTGACCTGTTTGTTGGTTGAGGTGAGGATATTATAGAGAGAAGTAATATGTTAATCACTTCTGGGAGTTAAAGGGTTAATGCTTTATTCAGGGGTGATTTTATAGCGAGAAGTTAGATGGTAGACACTCTCAGAGGTTACAGGGTTAACTTGAAAATCTTTGAAATTTCCCATTGCATTGTGTGGATCTCATTTGAAAGGTATGCCTTGCTAGTCTATCCATTTCATTAAAAGGGTAAGGAAGCAGTGCTTTGAAGATGGCCTTCCTTTGAAAGACCATAAAATTTTATGTGAGTATTTGAACAATACCAAATTACTTCTTAGTATACTAACTGATCGGTGCTTCTAACAAGATAGATAGCAAATTTGTTATGTAAGAGTTAAGCTCAAAGTGGGTGGGTCTAAGTGCTGCCAAAGACACATCCTGCTTATTCTTTTGCTTCATTTGTTTGGTTACATTGTGGTTTCATTTTTTATTGTATTGATTGTTATTTCTTTGGTTTTTGTCTAGGTAGTACCTGATATAATGTAATGGGTTTGAGACAGTGAAATAAGATTTAAACCACAAGTCAGAGATTAAACCACTGCAGTTATATAAGATTCCCATCCCCATTGACCTTTTCATTCCCACAAGTTACCAAGACAGAATTTCTCCTTACAATATCAATACAATATCAAGCAGGTAGGTGATGAGAATAGAGAAAAATATCAATTATGGGATTATTAGTTGATCCAATACCAAATTCTCTGAACTAACATCATACAAATTGTATAGCAGATAGTAAGGAGAATTATTGATTAGATCTTGGGAGTGAAAGGGTTAAGAAGATTCATCTCTGTATACTCTGTCTGCTAACTTAATAGGGTGGAATAACTTAATTTATTAATGTCCAATGTCACAACAGAGTGCATTTCATTTAGGGGGTCATCAGTGGTAGCTAAAGCACAAAATGCTTTTGAAATGTTCACAAACTAAGGCTGATTTATTAAATACAAAAACATATAATTCAGTCATCTGTCTCAAGAGAAACACTTCCTGATGAATCTTAGAAACATTAGAAAGATCATAGTGTACATTATCATAGACAACTGTCATATTGTTTGATAATATGGTTCCTCACTGTAGCATACACTGTAGCATGCACTACAGACATCTTATAAGGTTGAACTAACATGATAAGCTCATGATTGTTTATCCAGCCAACCATGTTTGATTTGGAATTAGAGTGGACGGTGGGAGTAGGGGACAGGGGAAGGGTGAGACTGTCCCCTTGGTCAAATTTTTTTCTTTCCCCAGCCTTCCACTACCATTTAAATAAAGGATGGCAGCCATAATTTTTTTTAAGAAAATACCCAGCACTTGCTTGCCAAAATTACGCCTGCTCTGCAGGCTAATATTGTATCAGTGTAAGTATAAAGAAATCTGTAAGGTCTAATCTATCAGCTAAGTTTGTGCCTAAGCATAAGACTCATTCTGTGAGAACCAGGTTGATTATACGTAACCTTACTTTTGTAAATTTCAGCAATCAACTGAATCAATAACTCTTTTCATTTTGGTCTCCAGGTTTCCAGGAAGGCCATTTCTAAGGTACTGTACTAATTTCTAGATATTTTAGGAATCAGCAGTAAGTGTAACTATAAGCAAAAGTGTAAGTTTCTCTAACTTGTAACCATAACATCTTTACAGCCTGTAAAGTTTTTAGAAAAATACAAAACCAATGTATCACCATCTATACTTAGATAAATACACCCCACGCCTGGAAAAATTATTAACATGAGACACAGAAATTTTAAATTAAAGATAATTATATCATAGTAACTCTAAATATCACTGATGTTTTTTTTAGAGAATACCATCAAACACATCCTACAAAATTTGGAAATTACAGCCTTCCTCAAAATTATAGATTGAAATAGATAAAGAGGAACAGTAGCTTACAACAGCAGTGGCTGGCCAAAACTTCAAGTCTTTTCTTTGGGATTATAAGACTTTATATTAGTAATTTTAAGTGCAAGAAAATGAGTGTACATGTGTAACAGGCGAAATTATTACTATGATATGATTCATTTTTATTTTACTTGTTTATCATCACTCCACTATAAGTTCAGTTTAAGATTTTGATACTGTGAATATGTCTCCTCACCATAGTTCTTTCTGTTGAAATTTTGAAAAAATTTGAACTTAGTTTATACCTGACAGCATGTTACTAACTTAATAAACACAAATTTATGTCAAGAGATGTGTAAATCTCATATTATAATGACTTGTAACATTAATAGTGTATTATCTCCCTAACTGGAAATACCAGTTCAGCATACAGTTCTGGCTCTTCACAAAAGCCAACCAATTTTGTCTGCTTCAGGGAATCTCCATTCTGCCTGGAAACTAACAAAGACAAAACTGATTGAGTTAATATGTAATATTTGCTGCATGAGTAGACACAAATTGTTTGGGCAAAGTCATATAAACTCTGACAATCTTTGTTTTAAAGCAGTACCGTTTCCTGGTTTTGAGTGGTAACCTACGGTTAAGGAGTTTTTCTCAGTCAGGATAAACTCTTAGGAAAAATTGAACACTTAAGAGTCCAAAATCCCTAGTTGTATTGTAATCTTAATGTAGAGGGTGCATATGAGAGATAAGATGTAAATTTCATTCTTAAGATTTAGATCTAGACATATTTGTTATTTTGTGTTTGAGTTAATATCAGTGATATCTACATTGACTCAGTAGAAAGGAAAGTGGATCACATGTCTGTTGTCTGGGTTTCCTCGTTGGTAGCATGGTTTAGTAAACTTAGTGGTAGAGAGTTTGGCTATTTACCTTTTCAAGTTAAGGTAACTCATTCAGCTATGGTATTATCCAGTCCTTCAGCTCATCTTCAAAACTTTTGTTGACACAGTACAAAAAGGCAGTCTTATCTACTTGACGGCCAGGCATGATATTGAACACATGTCGTCGGTAATGACGATCTGGTGTGTGCATGTAGTTGTCTAGGTAACCAGGGCATTCGGTGGAGGGGCACGCAGGTCCACAGTGAAACTTTACAAAGGGGAAACTCCTCTTGCAAATCCCCTCTACCATGGAGTACACTTCGCACAAGACATCAGAAGGCTTCTTTCCACGACTATTGCTGGAAAGTAATGGAATATGTTGTTTTACGTTAGTGGAGAAAAGGTTTAGAAAAAAATTTGCAACTTTGTTGCAAGCTGGCACATTACCAACCTGGCCATAAGAATTTTCACTTAAGCCAAGTCACTTGCGTAATGACTATTTTCAAGGCTACAAGTCATTTAGTATAAAGAAGATTCTGGTTAGAGAAACTCAGAAACACACACACGATCCCCGAGCAAAACTATGTACATTCTCGCAAACAACCCACAGTATCATTTCTGTTAGCCACCAAACATTATGAAAAGTCTAAGTCCCCTAAGTTTTTGAGGAAAGGGTGTACAACTACCTGGTACTGAATGTAACTTCAATAACACCCTCTTTCTTCATCAGCTTAAGCCTGTAGGGCTGCCGAGAACTCATCCAGAACTTTCCAACATCTCTGAACACAACAGTTGCACCATTGGCAAACTCCACCTTACTTTTCTTGTGGGCACGAGACAACAGGCGATGGAACAAGGGTTCTGGTAGGAACCTCTCGAAAAACACCAAGAACTTTTTATCTCTCTTGTCATCATACCATGCTGGGTTGCATACATCTTGAGACTTCGGTAACAAGGATGGAACAAAGTGAGTTGGCTGGAGCCTCTCTTTGTCTCGTAAGGTAACAATTTTGACTTTGGTGTTGGTTAATGGGCAGATCAAATCGTACTTTTCAAGAAATGCACTCATGGCTTCTTCATTTTCCTTTACGTTGGAAATGATGCTGATTAGGAGTGGTTTTGTTAGCAGTCCCTTTTCCTGGAGAAGTCTCCAGTCACTCCTCAATCCTCTCGTCTGGGTCATTTGAGGGGATGACGTGACCAGCTTGGTAATGATATCCACCAGAATTTCTGGTTTGAGTAGAACCCAGTCGGACAGGTCTTTATCTTTGGCAATGTATATTATCAGGCCTTGTTCGTGGAAGTACTTCAAGGTTTCTTCAGACCGGTTGGTGTGAATTATGTTACCAAATGCCCATGGAAACTCTCTCAGTGTGACACAGTATCTGGCAACCTTCCTTTACCTTAACTGGATGATCGCATCTTGTATTCTTATCCATGACAAAGGAATTTTGTCATCTGTAGTTGGCTTGCATTCCTCAGCAGCAGCCATGATTTTGATTCGAAGCATTTGAACTCCAACATCATTATCCCCCTTTGAGTTCTCAACTGGAAAGAAGATCAGATCTTCATCTTCGTTAACAACCAGCTCATCACAGTAGGATGTCCAAAGAATTTGTTTTAACTTGCTATTAAAGTTTTGCATGTGGTTCTTGTCTATGTGTTCACAATGTGTTCCAACAAGGAAGATTGGTGTTTTTGGTTGTACATGACCACAGACAGACTCAAACCAAACGAGAAGCCTCTCGGCCTTTAAATTCTGAAATTCCTCTAGTGCAAAATCAGACATGTTGAATACAACGACATAAACAGCCTGGTTCTTTAGAAACATGTGATGATAAGCATAATATTCTTCGTCACCTGCAAAATCCAGGATCTTCATTTTCAGAAAGGGATATTTCTTGTTCAGCGCAGTTTGTATCATTTTTGTGTTGATTTCACCGTTTCCAATAAGCGCAATTGTCATGAAACTGTTAAAGGGGTTCACAAATTGTGTTTTACTGCCGTCTGAATTGCTGCAAAACAATTCCTGGTAGAAGGTTAAGCCCACGTATGCAGGAAATGTTATGATAAAAAAATAAATTGCTATACGTGGTGTAGTATGAGCTTGATATGCTACTTTTATGTGATAATAGGTCCAAACGATCAACAGTGCTATTTGAGGTACTGATCCCAGTGATCTGTCCTTTTTAATAGCTGATTTAGTAACATTTCTGACGTAGTTTGTGTCCAAAATGATAAGTGGGAAGTCAACCACGAAAATTGCAAAAATACTAGTGATAATTCTGTCATTACTTCGGGTACAGGCTGTGAGCTTCGCTAAAGTTTCCGCATCTTTAATTTCATGACTAGGTGACGCTACTGAAAGTTCTATAGATGCATGCTCCCAGAAACAGAGTCCTTCTAGTCTCCAGAAGGACCTTGCAACAATAAAGCCAGAAATTAATCCGATCAAGATTGATAAAGGTAACCGACAAAAACATAGGAACTTCATCAAGGTTTGATTCCTGATCAGTCGACCTGTAACACAGGGTAGTCGTTGCGGTCCGATGAAAAGGAACAAGGTAACGAATGCAGTACCTGCAACTGTGCTCAACATGAGAAATTCGCGAGTACTTGCAAACTCTAAGTAACTGTTGTTAAAGGGACATATCATTATAGCCGAATATAACCCAATCAATAACCCTCGGCGGTTCAAGATGAAAGCCACAGTAGTGAGTGTCAATCTGATGTCATGACTCTCGAAGAAATTCACACAAATCGGAAACATAAGATAACCATGATAAATGTAGTAAAATAAGAGGTATTTCACAGGATATCTGTATATTGTCCCAATGACGAATAAAAGTGTTATTACAATTCCACAGAAATACAAATAAAGCCGCAGAAGACTTGTTGTCATCATGAACT